GTCTATCCAGTTTCATGTTTTAACTGTGACGTGAGTGGGCTCCAGATGTCTTCCTAGATTGTATTGTCAGTGGTCGGGATGAGTTGTATTGGTTTGTCTCTCAGTTCTTTTGGGGTGGCTACTTTCAGGGGGGTCGCTACTTTTGGGGGGTCGCTACTTTCGGGATTTACTAGTGGCCACAAAACATTGACATTAATTTCGGGGGGTCGTTACTATTTGAACTTTACGGTAGTGTATTAATACATGTATGCCAAATTTACATAATAATTTGGTATGATTAATGTGCATGGCCACACAGCAACATCTTTGCAACTGCAATTCATGTAACCTTTGGCTGATGTTGCACTATTTGTAGCAGGTTACACCCTCATCACTGAAAATTCTTCTCTTGATTTAATTTGTTGTACATGCAATGTTGATTGTAGGGAGATTGACCTTCAGACTGGGTATACCACAACCACGCTATTATGCATGCCAATCTTCATCAGAGGAAAGTAAGTACACACTCCCAGCCCTGGCATTGTGAGAATTACAAAGGAAATGCTGGGGTATCTTGCTGTCTTGTTTCTAAGTGATGATACTGTATTAGAGGGTTTTTTATATTAGACCTTATGTGTTTGTTACTAGCGATGTCCTTTGCCCCACTCTAGTGTTCTGTGAAAATTGAGATTTAATTTCAGGGCTGTAGCCAGTATGAGGCAAACCGAAGCAATTGCCTCAGTCATTTGTTTTTCGTTTCTGTGTTTCTGTTTTTTGAAGGGTGAATGTAAAACACTGTTACACTCATCTGTAAATACCAATGAAGAGAATTTAACTGTGGGCCTTGCCTCAGTTGTAATTTTTTTTCTGGCGATGGCCCTGATTCTTTATTTTTGAGAGGAATGCTTGACCACTTTTGATGTAAGGCTTTTGTGGACAATTTATAATTTTGTTCCTTCTTTTGTTTCAGTATAATTGGTGTTGTTCAGATGGTGAATAAAAAGAGTGGAGTATTCACAGCTTCAGGTATGAATCCTTGTGAATTTCTGGACCAGAAAGAAATACCTACTCCATGAACTTTTCTTAAGAATGTTATGATCATCTTAATGTTTTGTTTTGTTTGATGTTTAAAGTTCATATCAACTGAGATACATGTAAATAATGTTCAAAGTGAAACTATACCATATTTTTTGGCCTATTTAAAGGCACACTGTTAACTATTAAACCACACGCCCCTAGTAAGTTTGATCAATTTGCACATTTATTTTACTTACCTGAAGAACATTGGTAAAAAATCTTTTAAAGACCATGTCCATGTAAGCGTCTCATCTATTAAATATATTCTTGAATTCAACTAATTGTGCCTGTGAAAATGAGCTAAGTTTTTCTTATTGCAAGCCCTGTTCAAGATGTGGATGTTGTTTTGTCCTTTACATCATTACATGTTCAGATAGCTTGTTCCTTAACCTGTTTCACACTTTAAAAATTATTAATTGGTATTTAATTATTCCAATGCTAGATGAGAAGTCATTTCAGACATTTGCTATCTACTGTGGTTTGGCACTTCATCATGCTAAGGTTGGTAGAGCTTGTTACATACATGTACATGAACTTCATTCCTAAGGGGTTTGAACTGCTTGTTAGCATCATTGTATATATATAAAAAGTGTTCAACATGCACTATCATTGACTGTTGAAACTTGTTGTCTCAAACTCCCCTCTCTCTTGAGGCCCGATTAGGGGTTTTCAGGATGTGGGGTGTCTACACATAGGCAAAAAATTATCAGGACACAGTGGAGGATTAATTGAATATAGGACATTTAGATCAGATATAATGGGATATAGAGTAGCAAATTGTTAGTTTTTGCAATTGGAATTAAAGGGATACAGGATGTTTAGGCCAAAAATTAATGGGATGTGGTATATTTAGACCTCCTAATAGGGCCTTATTCTCCCTGGGATATACTTTTTCAGTCATTTATTACCAGCTATCTCATACCCCCACTTTCTCAAACTATATTTCAGTTCCCCTAAGAGTTCGGGATATTGGGTTTCAACTGTATTAGATGACTTGTGCCATTTCATTTCGAATTATCTCACTGTGCAGTTTGTTTACATGGTTTATGTAAATGTACTGTTTATTTCTTTTCCAGCTCTATGATAAAATCAGGAGATCTGAACAAAAGCACAGGGTATGCTATAACTAGCAATTGATTCATGCTTTAGCATGCATCACCAAGATTGGAAAGCACAAAAGAAGAGTAAGAATTACTTGACGCACAGCCAAGAACAACTACAGCTTCTTGAGTGCTGTCCAAACTTTCCAAGTGCACCATAACTCGATGACAAACAGCTATCAATAATATTGTTTCATAACATTGCCAGTGCAGATAAATGTATTACAATGGTCACTTCTTAGCAAAACCCATTTCTCTGTTGAAGGAAAGTATACTGTGCTCATGTAATGAGAATACTGAGTTTGATGGCTTTGCCATCTACAGTATGTTATATACTGAAATGTAGAATACACAATAAGAGGGAGTTGGAAGGAGAAGGGGAATATATGTAGGTATATCAAAAGGAAAAAGTGCAATCTAGTCAGAGGTGTTGGGTGACGGATAAAACAGTAGCTGACTTTATTACATGGCTAACACTGTGAGTGGGCAAAATGAACCAAATCCTGCACTGTGATTGGCTACCCGAGAGGGTAAGATGGCGCTATCATGCCCGCTCAAACGGGCAAGATAGGGGAACGAGCTTGGCCAAATATATCCAGCCATCTTGACCTCATGCCTAATCAATAGGCCATGTATATAGTGGAGTGGAGTTTTAGATGATTATTCGGGGAGAGGTAAGGAATGGGATTGTCTCTGCAGAGGGAGGGCAAAAGGGAAGAAGAATAGGCTTTTCAGTGGTTCATTTATCATTAAATGAATTTGGACTTGCTTGAGAGGAAGGTGTCTTTTTTCTTAGGTGACAATACGAGACCAATAAAGTTGATAGATAACTATGCTAATTCAAGCAATCCTGTTTGCTACAGGTAGCACTGGAGGTTCTTTCTTACCACAGCAAATGCTCTGACCGCGAGTTGGCAAGAGTCCAAGAAATGCAACTTGAAGATCCTTATCCAAATTTGGAATCGTAAGTATAAACAACAAATGCTTTGTGCATAGATCCCTATGTTAAGATTCTCAGGGCCTCCATTTTTAATCATCCTTGCAGCAATGTGGTAATAAACTGCCCCTCCATTCTTGTGGGGTTTTTCTGCAGCCTTATGACTAGCTTGTTGGACTCTAGATTGACATTCCAAGCTCAAGTACTCCAGCTGTGTCCTTGTGTTGTACATTATGTACACAGTCTCTTCTTGGGAAGGACAGAGACAGTGCACACGTTCAGTCATCCAAGTACATGTAGATGTCATTCTCACTTGCCTGATGGGCAAGGGCCCAGGAAAGTTGTCTACCAACTAAATCAAAACAGAAGTAAACAAAAACTTGCCAAGGCCAAGCAAAATTTGAGAGCTGCTTGTTCAAAGAGCAAGCTTAATTTCAATTTTTTTTTTTTTTCGA